CACATTGATTGTCTGTGTCCACTGTGCCATACTCGGAGTCGTTTGCGCCAGGCGTGAGTTTCTCAATTTACTCAATCGAGCTGTTTAGTTCCGCCTGGAACTGTCCATTAATGCAATGGACATTTCTAAACTTCATACATTTTTGTACTAACTATTAACACTGTATCATATCTGAGGAATTACATATGTATACTATATATTCAAAACTTAAACTCCACTTTATAGTATCAGCAAGAAAAAATAATGTCATGAAAACCTATACTTGTCAAAATCATGTGCAAGCCCGGGCTTATTGGCTTACATGGTAGCTACGCGCCTGCTCAGGACACCTGCGTTGATAAGTTCGTAAATAGTCTCACTTCCATTGCAATAACATTATTGAGATGTGTTATCCTGTAAATGTCTAGAGATGGGTTCTTTCAAGATTTGTTTTGCAACAACACACAAAACTGTAAAAGTGCCACAATAAAAAAAAAAAATCACACATTTCCTTAGCCCATTAAAACAGTAGCTTTGTTAAAGCTGGCATTAATTCAAACTATACCTGTCATGCTATTTATTTCGTTTATTTACTCATGATAATATACCTGTTTTGTACTTATTGACTATACAGGTTTAGGTGAACAGAACAACTGCTTAATTTGAAAGTTAACATGTCCCATAGTATAGGAAGAATTCATATGTTAGCATGCAATCCATTTAATTGTGATTTTGAAACATATATACTGAAATTACTGCATATGTTGTACTGTTAGTAAGTTATTTACACAATATCAGTACACAAACACAAAGAAAACATGATAGTTATATTTTCAAATACTGAAAATCAACAAGAGCCCCTCTTAGTATGTTACCATATGTATCCATTTCACTGACTGCTGATGTATATGATTTCTACAATTATGGGGGCCGTGGTGGCCAAGAGGATAAGGTGTCTGACATTCTGCTACCACTAGCCCTCCCTCCACCACTGGGTCGCGGGTTCGAGGCCTACGTGGGACAGTCGCCAGGTACTGACCGTAGGTCGGTGGTTTTTCTCCGAAGAAGCCGGTTTTACTCCACCACCAAAACCTGGCAATTCCTTAAACGACCATAGCTGTTAATAGGACGTAAAACACAAACAAACAAACCAATTCTACAATTATGTCTTAAATGGCATCAGACTTTTAACTTTGAAATGAGCTTCAAAATTTTCCGCGTTTAACTTTAACTGTCTGTTTCAGGAGGACAAGATTTATGTCCAGCACCGCATTGAGGAGACCAGTCAGGCCCTGTGGAACCTACTGGACAAACACAACGCCTACTTCTATATAGCTGGGTGGGTTGTCTTACAACTATGTCATAAAACAGTGACAACACTATGACTGACGTCATGTGACATGTTATAAAGAAACTTCACAAACTGAGATGTAAATGACATTATCTTTCAGATTATCAGGATATTAAATGGAAAATTTCAGTTTTTTTTTTTTTATATATTTACATAAATCTTTAAAAAGATATCCTCAAAAGACTTGCTATTGAATTAAAGTGCTTATGTTGCTGTAACTATTATACAAGGTATAAACAAAATGTATATATACATTTATGAATAATAAATAACTTGTAAAATTCAACTTTTATTGAAATATGACTTTTTCATGCTGAATTTAATATTCATATTACAATTTAAAGATATTTATTTAGAGTTGTGCCTTTAATGTCAAATTTGAGGTTTATCAAAAATTATCTTCTTTCTGAGAGTATAAGTGTATAATTTTTAAAGATGAACAAACTAAGATAAGCATTGAATTTCATTTGTAGAAATGCTAAGCGTATGCCTGATGATGTAAGTGACGCCCTGAAGGCCGCCATACAGAAGTACGGCAACAGGACAGCTGAGGAGGCAGACAAATATCTCCTCCAACTTGACCAGAAGAAACGATACCAAGCAGAAACATGGTCTTGATGTCAGTGGACTATAGTCTTGTAGGATTTTAATTTTAATTTTAAGATGAAAACAATGGTAAAATAAAAATAAAATAAATACAAAATGATTTCAGAGAGTTCTTTTTTTAATATCGTAACAAAGACTTAAAATTCAAAATTAAATCTTTTCAATTCATAGTCTAATCAAGGACCCGAATTGGGTATAATGACAAATAACATGCATGTGTTTTACAAATGACATGACTGACAAACGATGCATTTTTAGCCCACCATTATCTTGGATTTTGATAGTGAAAGTTTGTTATCGCTATTGCTCGGGAAACACCAGAGGGATCTTTCTCAAATTTTATATATAGGTTCCCCTTGGTCCCTAGCTATGCAGGGCAACTTTTGAGACTGATCGGATAAACAACATGGCCGGCAGGCAGCCATCTTGGATTTTGATAATGAAGGTTTGTTACCGCTATTTCTCAAGAAGTACCTGAGGGATCTTTCCTAAATTTTATTTGTAAGTTCCTTTTGGTCCCTAGCTGTGCAGGGCAACTTTTAAGACTTATCGGATAAACAACATGGCCGATAGGCAGCCATCTTTGATTTTGATAGCGAAAGTTTATTATCGCTATTTCCCGGGAAGTACGGGAGGGATCTTTCTCCAATTTTAAATGTAGGTTCCCCTTGTTCCCTTGTTGTGCAGCAGTGCCTGAAATAGACGGTCGCCTGCTTGCCAATGGCGGTTAAAGTCTTGCTCGAGCGACCAAAATTTGTCAAAAGTGAGGTAGTCACTGGCCAACAAAATTAGTTTGGGCGACTGTCGAAAAATTAACGAATAAGAGAAATTATAGTCCCTTCCACATTAACTTGGGGGCAGTACATTTATTCAGTTTTCATTACGTCGATTTGAATCGAACTGTCTGTGATTTAGAAAATGTGATGATTTTTTTTCAGATTTTCTATATAAAATACTGCCAGGGTGTCTTCTTTGAGGTGCAAGTTTTGTGTATTTCTTTTTGGGAAGACCTGAATGGAGTGGATCATGTCAGGTTTTAACTAGGGTTGAAGAATTAAAAATATAATGTTTAACATATTACAAACACTGTCATGTTATATGTGATTTAAATGTGCTGAAGCATTGTGTTAAATGCTGTGGAAATATTTCTTCCAAAAATTATTTGGGCCACCAATATGTCATTTTGGCAAGTGCTTCAAATTTTTTACTCGCACCAAATTTGTTTTTGGGCCAGCCAATGCAGGTTCCCCACTATCCTTTATTGTTCATGTTTACTTTTGAAACTGATCAGTTAAACAAAATGACCTACTGACAGCCATCTTCGATTTTTGACTTTGAAGGTACTATTTCTCAGGAATAACTTTAGGGATCTTTCTCAAATTGGATATGTAGGTTCCCCTTGATCCCTCGTTGTGCATGTTATATTTTGAGACTGATTATAGAAACAAAATGGCTAAAGGAAGAACTAAACAGATCTTTCTCATATTGCAATAATCAATTCTGTTTCTTTCACATTAAGTACTGTACTAGTAAATATGTGAAATGACAAACTCACTTTGAAGGTTGGCTTTCATACACATCAGTATTAAGTTTAGATCAAAAGTTACCTCAAGGTTGAATATTGGCATGTTGCCTTAGCAAATTGACCTACAAGAAGTCAACAAACATAATATTGTAACTATTTCAAGCCATGTAAGATTTCTTATATAAACAAGTTTATCAAAACGATACATATATCCTGTATATAATTCATTGATTGCCTTGTGTATTGAACTAAAAGCTGATCAATTAAACATTAAACTTCTTCTACTTAATATTGAGTAAGACATTTATCTAACTTAAGAGTAAGACAATGGTCTAATCTTCATCCATAGGACTTGGGGCATTATGGGTCATTTTTGGCCTCATAAAAAGTAACAATTTTAACTTGAATTTATTTACCAATATCTGTCATAAACATCTTATTGGTTAATTGAGGCTATCTTTCTTGGTGCAGATTTTTTCCAGTGCGAAATTGTGTTGCTGATGCAGAATAGCCAAAATATGGTGTTTTTCGACAGGTAGCATATAAAGATTAAAGCCTCGGCATGTGACAAACAAAAATTCCTTTCTATGAATGAACACTGGTGTGACAATGTTTAAGCATGTCAAATATTTATTTGTTTGTTGCTTGCGGAGGCTTTCAAAAATTGGAGTGTATAGTTTATTTCCTTCGAAATAGGCAATTGACCATTAATCCCCCTAGCCCTTAAAGGTAATCTATCTGAATCAAAGTAAAATATTGCCGCTTTCCTGTAATTAACATTTGCTTTATTTTTTGCACAAACATCCATATGTCTCCAGCTGTCATCAACATTGATTCACTTTTCAATGTCAAAGTTAGGTGGGAAAAGAATCTAAATCCAGCAGCAATCACACATCTCACCTTTATCTAACTTAAGTGGCAGTTACTACTCTCACCTTTATCTAACTTAAGTGGCAGTCACTACTCTCACCTTCGTCTAACTTTAGCAGCAATCATTGCTCTCACCTTCTTTTAACTTTAGCAGCAATCATTGATCTCACTTTCATCTAACTTTAGCGGCAATCACCACTCTCACCTTCTTTTAACTTTAGCAGCAATCATTGCTCTCACTTTCATCTAGTTTTAGCGGCAGTCACTACTCTCACTTTCATCTAACTTTAGCAGAAGTCACTACTCTCACCTTCTTTTAACTTTAGCAGCAATCATTGCTCTCACTTTCATCTAACTTTAGCAGCAGTCACTGATCTCACCTTCTTTTAACTTTAGCGGCAATCATTGCTCTCACTTTCATCTAACTTTAGCGGCAATCACTACTCTCACCTTCTTTTAACTTCAGCAGCAATCATTGCTCTCACTTTCATCTAATTTTAGCGGCAGTCACTACTCTCACCTTCTTTTAACTTTAGCAGCAATCACTACTCTCACTTTCATCTAACTTTAGCGGCAATCACTACTCTCACCTTCTTTTAACTTTAGCAGCAATCACTGCTCTCACTTTCATCTCACTTAAGCAGCAATCACTGCTCTCACCTTCTTTTAACTTTAGCAGGAATCACTACCTTTACCTTCTTTCAACTGTAGCGGCAATCACTACTCTCACCTTCTTTTAACTTTAGCAGGAATCACTACCCTCACCTTCTTTTAACTTTAGCAGCAGTCACTACCCTCACCTTCTTTTAACTTTAGCAGCAGTCACTGCTCTCACCTTCATCTAAATTTAGTGGCAATCACTTCTCTCGCATACATCTTACTTTAGCAGCAATCACTGCTCTCACCTTCATCTTGCTTAAGCAGCAATCATTGCTCTCACTTTCATCTAATTTTAGCGGCAGTCACTACTTTCACTTTCATCTAACTTTGGCAGCAATCACTACCCTCACCTTCTTTTAACTTTAGCAGCAGTCACTACTCTCACCTTCTTTTAACTTAAGCAGCAGTCACTACTCTCACCTTCTTTTAACTTTAGCAGCAGTCACTACCCTCACCTTCTTTTAACTTTAGCAGCAGTCACTACTCTCACCTTCTTTTAACTTTAGCAGCAGTCACTACCCTCACCTTCTTTTAACTTTAGCAGCAGTCACTACTCTCACCTTCTTTTAACTTTAGCAGCAGTCACTACCCTCACCTTCTTTTAACTTTAGCAGCAGTCACTACTCTCACCTTCTTTTAACTTTAGCAGCAGTCACTACCCTCACCTTCTTTTAACTTTAGCAGCAGTCACTACTCTCACCTTCTTTTAACTTTAGCAGCAGTCACTACCCTCACCTTCTTTTAACTGTAGCGGCAATCACTACTCTCACATACATCTTACTTCAGCAGCAGTCACTACTCTCACCTTCTTTTAACTTCAGCAGCAGTCACTACTCTCACCTTCTTTCAACTTTAGCAGCAATCACTACCCTCACCTTCTTTAAATTTAGCGGCAATCACTTCTCTCGCATACATCTTACTTTAGCAGCAATCACTGCTCTCACATTCATCTAACTTTAGCAGCAATCATTGTTCTCACCTTCTTTTAACTTAAGCGGCAGTCACTACTCTCACTTTCATCTAATTTTAGCGGCAGTCAATACTTTCACTTCCATCTAACTTTGGCAGCAATCACTACTCTCACCTTCTTTTAACTTTAGCAGCAGTCACTGCTCTCACCTTCTTTTAACTTCAGCAGCAGTCACTGCTCTCACCTTCGCCTGACTTTAGCAGCAGTCACTACTTTCACCTTCTTTTAACTTTAGCGGCAACCACTACTCTCACATGTACATCTTACTTTAGCAGCAATCACTGCTCTCACATTCATCTTGCTTTAGCAGCAGTCACTACTCTCACCTTTATCTTACTTTAGCAGCAATCACTGCTCTTACTTTCATCTAACATTAGCAGCAAAACGCCCCTAAAACGTGTAAAAATACTCTGAACGCTTTAGTTTAGGTCCAAATATAGCTGTAACAAATTCTCAGAGCCCTGTGGGATCGATGACCGACATCAGAGACGATGTTCAATGTTACCGTTACGCTACCCCGAAATTCTCATGATGAACATAAAATCAAACTACATGCAGTCTACTACCATCCTCGATATCCAGGGGTTACGTTCACTTCGCTCTCTACACCCCTGGGATACGTCGTAGCAAAATTGAAGGCTCAGTGTGAACAAGTTCGATCCTTTGATAAACATCAGAAGAATCGCGCGCTCATGTAACGGTAAAAATTGACAGGCTTTGAAGTCGGGTGTCTCACATCTGTAATCTTCAAAGGACAGTTATCAGCCTAGCGATTTCTTTTTTACCTGAGACCAATCAAACAGCTATCTTTTTGCCTTCGATTTTGCTATGACATATTCAAGGGGTATAGAGAGCGAAATTGAGCGTAACATTCACAGAGTAGCAAGCAGATTTCAGGGTTTTGCAGAGAACGTAAGTGGGCGTAACCCCTGAATTTCGACGGCGTTTTTTGGTCTTTAAAACCCCCCATCAAAAAGTCAACAAATTTTGAATCATTATAAGACACTTATTTTGCTAATTAATTAGGTCTATTTTAAACAAACAAAATCGAATTTTAGTTCTCTTGAACCCATTCTTGCCCTTTTTTATGGGGAGCAATCGCGGGATAAAAACGAAACTAAACTGCCAATTTTTTTTTAATCTTTTTCCAATTCCTTCGATAAAACCTATTAATACATAAACTTCATCACTTTGGGATCAGGGGGGAAGTAAACACATGGATTAAAACATTCTTAATCAATAGGACACAAGAATGCAGTCGTACTCGAAGGCGAACGATCTCCATATGAACCAGTCTAGTCTGGAGTCCCCCAGGGGTCAGTCCTCGGCTCAAGTTTATTTTTGTACTATATAAATGACACGCCCCTGGGTCTCTCCTCCCCGGTCAGATTGTTTGCTGACGGTACAATTTTTATACAAAACTACATGTCACCTCCAGTGAGAACGCCACAATACTGCAGAGGGATTTAGATAAGCTCGCAGTTGGGGAAAATAGATGGCAAATGGAATTCCAACCCCAAAATGTAACTATTTTCTTCATGGTCATAAAGCAAAATATTTGGGTGTAACATTGAAAAAAGATCTGAAATGGAATTCTCACATTACTGAAATTACTAGTAAAGCCTCTTGGCTTCATTCGGCGTAACCTAAAAAATAATTCTAAAACAATAAAGGAACAAGCATACAAATCTCTAGTGCGTCCGACTTTGGAATATGCTTGTACCAAAAGGTTCAGCGTAGGGCTGCGCGGCTGTCACTAACAGATACCATATATCACATCCAGTGTTGGTGACCACAGAGACCTGAAAATTTGTTACAGCTATATTTGAATCTAAACTAAGGTGTTCAGAGTAATTTTACATGTTTTAGGGGTTTAGATCGACTTTCGGTAAAAAATGGGGGTGTCATTTTTACCAACACGTAACATTACTCTGAACACCTTTGTTTAGGTCCAAATATAGATGTAACAAATTCTCAGGTCCCTGCATGTGGTCTCATCTGAAACTTTGGTAACCTTTAAAAGTCGTCTCTCCTCTCTAAAAAAAAATTAGCTCTTTTCTAACATTCTTTTTCCTGTACAGTCTTCAATATGATGAAGTAGGTCGAAGTAGATGACAAAATACCACACATCATGTAATTGAAATTGAGCAAAATGCAAATTGCAGGGAATTTTAATGAAATCAAAATTGAAAAAAATGCGGATGAAGATGAATATACAAAGATTTAAAAAAACTTCACACCCAACATGAAGGACATGAGTGTTTCGGATGTACAGTGACAAATGCACGTGCGTTTCACGCGTGACTGACTTCCGGTGTAGACGTTGCATTTCAGGCTGTCGGTGAAGCGAGAAGGATCGAGGCGAGAAGGTGTTTGAGTGGAGAAAATTGACCATGGACTCAGATCGGTTGTTCCATTGCTGTGTTTTATGTCTGGTCTTTAGCTCCGTTGGAGTTGTTGCCGCATCACCACCGAGTCAAGAAAGCGGTATAGTTTTATCAGATCGAGATGCAATATCATGAATATGGCGGTGACTTAAATTTTCACTCGAAGAAAATCTTCAGAAAAATACAAATCCATGAAATTACATTGAATTATAATGTATTGTCCCAACAGTTTTAAAGCAGTATAACTAAACCTTGGTTTGGTGAAATGCAATCTGCTGATTTGACGTCTAATAGGAAAAAAGGCCCAACATCATGACTTAGAATTGCAATAAAAAAAAAATATTTTATTTCCACATTGTGCTATAACATAGCGAAATTTTCAAAATATAAATGTCACAGCGTTTTTGGATAAAACATACAAATAAATTCGGAGAAGTTTTAAAATGCAATACATGTATAATCTTCCTATGGTTTGTTGTGACTGATTGAAATACTAGACGATTGTTAAGTGTAAAAATAATTTGCTATGCATGATCATCCAATATTGATTTCATTCTCAATAAATCATTAATGTTAAATGTTGCAAACAGGGCTGGTGTTTATTTATTTCAGCCTCAATGGTACAATTGATATGCCAACTTCTGCAACTAACACTAAAACTTTGGTTCTTTACTGTGTGTGCAATACATAATGGAAATGCCATTTTGGTTGACATATTGACAAAGGGGTATGTGTTACAATGGAAATGCTAATGGTGAAAATCTTGTCGCATACAATTTTGATGAGCAGAGAAAAAAATTGCACAATGTTTAAGTTTTTGTAAGGGTTTGGTCCATTTAGGCCTATAGTTTGTCCCACTAGATCTAGACCATGCATACCTGGTTGTCTCCCCCTGGGTCGAGGCTCAACCCCTCCTGGGTCTTAGGCCTAGTGTATCTCGACCTAATTCTCCTACGAGAACTAGACCTAGCACACATGCAATTCTTCTAAATGTAGACCCTCAGTACACATGCCCTTCTTCTCCCAGGAGTTAACCCCGAATATATATTCTTTTCCCCCTGGATTCAAGCCAACTACATCTCCAATTTTCCACTGGATCGAGGACCAGCACACATCTACTTCTCCCTGGATTTAGCCCAGCACACATTCATTTTCCCCCTGGAGCGAGGCCCAGCACACCTCCATTTAGACCCTGGTTCTAGGTCCAGCATGCCTCCATTTCCCCTCAAGGACCAGCACACCTCCACTTCTTCTCCTAGGATTTAGCCCAGCACACATCCATTTTTCAACTGGATGGAGGCCCAGCACACATCCATTTTTCACCTGGATGGAGGTCCAGCACACATCCATTGTTCACCTTGATGGAGGCCCAGCACACATCATCCATTGTTCACCTGGATGTAGGCCCAGCACACATCCATTTTTCACCTGGATGGAGGCCCAGCACACATCCATTTTTTCACCTGGATGGAGGTGCAGCACACATCCATTGTTCACCTGGATGGAGGTGCAGCACACATCATCAATTGTTCACCTGGATGGAGGTCCATCACACATCCATTGTTCACCTGGATGGAGGCCCAGCACACATCCATGGGTCACCTGGATGGAGGTCCAGCACACATCCATTGTTCACCTGGATGGAGGCCCAGCACACACCCATTGTTCACCTTGATGGAGGCCCAGCACACATCATCCATTGTTCACCTGGATGGAGGCCCAGCACACATCCATTGTTCCCCTGGATGGCGGCCCAGCACACATCCATTGTTCACCTGGACGGAGCCCCAGCCCACACCCATTGTTCACCTGGATGGCGGCCCAGCACACATCCATTGTTCCCCTGGATGGCGGCCCAGCACACATCCATTGTTCCCCTGGATGGCGGCCCAGCACACATCCATTGTTCACCTGGACGGAGCCCCAGCCCACACCCATTGTTCACCTGGATGGAGGCCCAGCACACACCCACTGTTCTCCTTGATGGAGGCCCAGCACACATCATCCAGTGTTCACCTGGATGGAGGCCCAGCACACACCCATTGTTCACCTGGATGGAGGCCCAGGACACATCCATTTTTCACCTGGATGAAGACCCAGCACACATCCATTGTTTACCTGGATGGAGGCCCAGCACACATCCATTGTTCACCTTGATGGAGGCCCAGGACACATCCATTTTTCACCTGGATGAAGATCCAGCACACATCCATTGTTTACCTGGATGGAGGCCCAGCACACATCCATTTTTCACTTGGATGGAGGCCCAGCACACATCCATTGTTCACCTGGATGGAGGTCCAGCACACTTTCGCTTCTTCTCCTGGATCTAAGTGAAGCACACCTTCAGATGAAGGAAAAGATGGCTTAAATTATTCCAAACTTTCCTTATATAATATTCACACACAAAACCCCCCCCATTGCAGATGGAAATATTTAGTACATTGGGGTATTTTGGATGAGAAAAGAGTGGGTGGTCTATGGGAAATGCACAGAATCTGATTAACAGTACTGAATATTGTTAAGAAGAGGTAGCTCATGTTAATTATACTGTAGTGTATGTTTCTTATGATTTTGTCTAACAGTTGTAGAATGTGAACCTGACAAAGCTAGATGTCATGATGGCAGTCTCTGTATCTCAAAGGACAAGTTCTGTGACAGGAAGAGTGACTGCCTAGACCATTCAGATGAGAGATTCTGTGGTAAATATGGCATATTCTGAAACCCATCTTTGTTATATTTATGACTAGATTTGCCAGCTCCTTTAGTGGTTCTGTTGATATCCCTCCTAAAAATCAAAACCCCAAATGACTTTCATTGAGGGTATTGATTTGAGTTGCTTCCCACTTTTCAAACATCATGTATGAGTGTTTTTATCCCTCACCAAGGTCAGATGTAAGGTGATTTTTTGTGTGTATTGTAGTGCTGGGGAACTGTACAGACCAGAGAAAATACTTCCCTTGTGCTCAAACTAGTGAATGTGTGCCCCGAGACTTTGTCTGTGATGGGCATAACGACTGTGCTGATGGATCTGATGAACTTGTTTGTGGTAAATCATAGAAATTTTAATCTACAATTTGTTTTTGCAATCTGTAAAAATCATATAAACATATACCTGAAATCACATATGTTCCTTGGGTTTGAGATGAGCAATGCGTTAGTGAATGCTTTATTGGAAAAAACAAGCTACAAATTAATTGATTGATCTATAGGACCATGCAGAATCATAACAAAACCTTCCATATTTTACGCCAATATTGGGAATTTTACAGTTCATCCAGAAATAAGTTTAATCGAGGCTACCTCAGATCTTAATGATTATGTGAGAATACACCTTAAAGAACAGTCATTATTTTAATGCTTTTGGATGAACTTGATTTTAATCTGTTCTATTCATATCAACTTTTTTATCCAGATCCAAAAGAGAACTGTACACTTGAGCATGACCGATTCCTGTGCGCTGACCGTAAGAGCTGTCTGGTATGTAATAAGGTGTGTGATGGACATGCAGACTGTGATGATGAGTCCGACGAGTCCACGAATTGTGGTGAGTTTTATACTATATTTGAATATTATGGTTCTAAACAGACTGAAAAGGTTTTGTCAATGTGAACCTTTTTGACAAGAAAAGTAAAGATGAAGTTCAGAAGGTTGTAATTAAGGTAATTTGTATGCATGACGAAAGTTTACAAGATAATGTCTAATGGAGATGTGTCGAGGTCAAGGACAAGATGTAAGGTTGTCAAGGTCATATGTAAGTTGTGGTTTTGTCAAAGTCTTAATTAAGATTGTCAAGGTCATAATTCAGGTGTAATGCAGTCAAGGCTGTAAGTAAAATGTAGGATTGTCAAGGTCATTTGCAAAATGAAAGGTTGTCAATGTCATAATAAGATGTATGATTTTTAAGGTCACATCATGTATTGTCAATGCCATAATTAAGATGAATGGTTGTCAAGGTGATAATGAAGAATTAGGATTGTCAGGGTTATAAGTAACATGGACGGTTGTCAGGGTAATGAATGATAAGAGAATGAATGACATGTTTATTAGTAAAATGTATATAGACTGGCTTGCTTGTACAGAAAATGTGTTAACAGATTTTCAACGTATCACTTTCAGATAGTTCGAGAAATGCCTGTCAAGCTGGGAAGTGTGGAGAGTTTGGAGTGTGTAAGGTACTGCCGTACGGACCTGTGTGTATCTGTCAACTGGGGTTCACACTGATGACGGACAATGTTACCTGTAAAGGTAGGATATCTGTGACAGTGTTACCTGTAAAGGTAAGATATCTGTGACAATGTTACCTGTAAAGGTAGGATATCTGTGACAATGTTACCTGTAAAGGTAGGATATCTGTGATAGTAATAAATCGATCAACACAATTCTTACCCCAGTATGGTAAATATCTCATTTTCAAACATTTACTTCTTATCTTGTCACCTTTGATGACATTTATTTATAACTTGAAAACAAATTAAAGATAATACAAAGATGGAAGAAAAAAATAATATCAGAGGAAATGTCAAGGTGACATAAGCTTTGTTATATCAGTTGTCAAGAGTATTGCCTTCAACACATACCTTATATGTTTTTAGACATTGATGAGTGTAACATACATCGGGGCAGGTTGCCATGTGATCAGGAGTGTACCAATACCAATGGGAGCTTTAACTGCTCCTGTCTCCATGGTTACAGACTAGAGAACACCACTCACTGTCGAGTTCAAGGTCAGTACCTCTATCACACAGCATCACTCACTGTAGAGTTCAAGGTCAGTACCTTTATCACACAACACCACTCACTGTAGAGTTCAAGGTCAGTACCTCTATCACACAACACCACTCACTGTACAGTGTAAGGTCAGTACCTCTATCACACAACACCACTCACTGTAGGGTTCAAGGTCAGTACCTCTATCACACAGCATCACTCACTGTAGAGTTCAAGGTCAGTACCTCTATCACACAACACCACTCAATGTAGGGTTCAAGGTCAGTACTTCTATCACACAACACCACTCCCTGTAGGGTTCAAGGTCAGTACCTCTATCACACAACATCACTTACTTTAGAGTTCAAGGTCAGTACCTCTATCACACAACACCACTCACTGTAGAGTTCAAGGTCAGTACCTCTATCACACAACATCACTCACTGTAGGTCAGCACCTCTATCACACAACACCACTCGTTGTAGAGTTCAAGGTCAGTACCTCCATCACACAACATCACTCACTGTAGAGTTCAAGGTCAGTACCTCTATCACACAACATCACTTACTTTAGAGTTCAAGGTCAGTACCTCTATCACACAACACCACTCACTGTGTGGTGTAAGGTCAGTACCTCTATCACACAACACCGCTCACTGTACGGTGTAAGGTCAGTACCTCTATCACACACCACCACGCACTGTAGGTCAGCACCTCTATCACACAACACCACTCCCTGTATGGTGTAAGGTCAGTACCTCTATCACACAACACCACTCAATGTACGGTGTAAGGTCAGTACCTCTATCACACAACATCACTCACTGTAGGTCAGCACCTCTATCACAAAACACCACTCGTTGTAGAGTTCAAGGTCAGTACCTCCATCGCACAACATCACTCACTGTAGAGTTCAAGGTCAGTACCTCTATCCCACAACATCACTTACTTTAGAGTTCAAGGTCAGTACCTCTATCACACAACACCACTCACTGCATGGTGTAAGGTCAGTACCTCTATCACACAACACCACTCAATGTACGGTGTAAGGTCAGTACCTCTATCACACACCACCACGCACTGTAGGTCAGCACCTCTATCACACAACACCACTCGTGGTAGAGTTCAAGGTCAGTACCTCCATCACACAACATCACTTACTTTAGAGTTCAAGGTCAGTACCTCTATCACACAACATCACTTACTTTAGAGTTCAAGGTCAGTACCTCTATCACACAACATCACTCACTGTAGAGTTCAAGGTCAGTACCTCTATCACACAACACCACTCACAGTACGGTGTAAGGTCAGTACCTCTATCACACAACACCACTCACTGTATGGTGTAAGGTCAGTACCTCTATCACATAACACCATTCACTGTACAGTGTAAGGTCAGTACCTCTATCACACAACACCACTCACTGTATGGTGTAAGGTCAGTACCTCTATCACACAACACCACTCACTGTACGGTGTAAGGTCAGCACCTCTATCACACAACACCACTCACAGTACGGTGTAAGGTCAGTACCTCTATCACACAACACCACTCACTGTAGGTGTAAGGTCAGTACCTCTATCACACAACACCAGTCACTGTACGGTGTAAGGTCAGTACCTCTATCACACAACACCACTCACTGTAGGTGTAAGGTCAGTACCTCTATCACACAACACCAGTCACTGTACGGTGTAAGGTCAGTACCTCTATCACACAACACCACTCACTGTACGGTGTAAGGTCAGTACCTCTATTGCATAACACTGCGATTTCAAGGTCAGCTCTGTAGATTATTTATCTGTAGACACAATTCAGGTATGATATCAACCATTTTTAATACATAACAGAAGAAACACACACTAAATGAAGAGTAAAATTAAAACACTTACAGAACAAATACAGAAATGTCAAGGTATGAAATGAAGTGTTAAATTATGAAATTAGGATCGAAGTTTTTGATTAGCAGAGGTTCCTGCTGCTAGCTATTTGAAGTACACGATGATAGCAATAATATTGGTATGCAAACAAAAAGGGATTCAGAAGTCTGGGGGATGAAGGAGGTGACTCTGTAAGTTCTGTTAGAAAATCTGTTTCATGTGTCAAATTAAAAAATACTTGGTATTATGTAGATTAGGATTAGTACATCATAATAAAACATCCCTCTGACATTGTGTTGGTATACAGATCCTGACCCTGTGTTATACGTGGCAGCCAACACGGGAGTTCTGGCATATCACATTCGGTCTGGACTCTGGACGACTGTCTTTGAGGATCAGCCAGACATTGTGGACCTGGGTAGGTCATACGGTAGAGCGGAGGTCAAACTGACATCTTTTATGGTCAGCAGCAGATGGTCCTACCACAGAGTATGGATGCACTAATTGTTTGTGGCTTAATGGTCCTTTATATCAACTGACCAAAGAAAAAATGATAGAAACAAGCAAATTAAATTACTGAAATATATGTATACTGTTTGCTACAATCTACTTGAGAGACCACCCTTGTTCAGCAATCTGGTCTCTTTTGAGATTATCTTTTTCTCATTACATTTGGATATTGATATAAGATTTACTGGAAGAGACTGCTTTTGCAATTTTCCCTGGTACATAGTATCTTAATAAACTGTGACGTCTGCAAGTGTAATTGACAATGATAAATAAATTTAGTAATGATTCTGCAATTAAAAAAATGAAATAAAGCAAAGAAATTGTGCATTAATGAACTTGTCAATGATATAGTTGCAATTTGTGTTCCACTTTTGATTCCAGATTTTGGTCCAAATGATAATCTGTTCTGGACAGCAGTCAACCGGACCTCCAGCTGGGTACAGTTTAGACATGTGGGATGGCCAAGAAACTGGACAACACACACCCTGGTGGACATTGGTATATTGTACTTTTGACCATCTGTTGCTCATGAAATGACATTAAGTGCAACAGGACTAGCTCCTTCAATAACCTGGTAGTATCAAGCTGATAGGTATTGCAAAAATAAGAACAAAAATTTAAATCTCTGTCCACTTTTCAGTTATTTGAGATCAAGAAGATAGTGTCAAAATGAGGAACATTTGCTTCCCAGTTTGCCAAGCTCAGGATTTTATCATTAATGAGTCTGTAATAGCTGTCCTCATCATATGGGAGGTCCAAAGTGTTTGGTTGTAATTGAACACTATATTGAGTTGCTATATGTATGTGTGGATTTGACTCCCACCACCAGGTAATCTAGTATTGGACCCCGAAACAGGATCCTAAGATAATTACATACATAGAAAATATAAATCATGTAAAATGAGGATATAAATTTTACCTTGTTGCCATGGTAAAAATAGTAATAATTATGTAAATAAGGCTAATTGAGGTCAAAACACTTATTGTCAAAATGACACATTTTCATTATTTGATGCCGGGAATATTGGAAGAGAAGCTTATAATTCTAAAACTTGTGTATACCTAAACGATGAAATGGAAATGAAAAGCACAACTGGTGTCTTATGTCCCAAATTTGCAAAATGTGTAGTCAGAAAACTCGAATTTTCAAGAAATAATTTAAATAGGTAATTTATCATATTTCAGATTTTATCAAAATCAATAAAAGAAATAAAGTCATCAATGCTCAAATTGTATGCTGGTCTAGATTGATGTAACCGTTACAGGTCTGTCCAGGTCGAAGGGGGTGGCTGTCGACTGGATGACCAATGCCGTGTACGTGGTCAGTGAGGACAGGGGTCAAATATTAGCCTGTGTGAGGACAAAACCAGTCAGCTGTGTCGTGGTCAAGGAAAACCTGGACAAATTGCAGGACATCATAATTTGCCATCATTCAAGGTAGACTATAAGGATACGGCGCGGGACCCAAATCGGATCACCAAACCATTATTTTATTCGTTCATTGGAAATTCTGAGGATGAATTATCTTCATATATCATTGTATCAAAGGAAGAATATCGATGGGTGCATGTTCTTACAAACGAAATTAGTACACGGGGCTCATGTGAGATATTTATAGAACACTGATGTCAGCGTTTCTGGTTTTTTTCGAATGTCAGGACCATAATCGGATAAAGGTTTGAATTTTGCAGTATTGTACACCTTAAATGAATAATTTCATTTTATGATGACCTTTGGGATTTATATGAAAACAAGTACTTCTATAGGTTGAATTTATCCCTTTAATCCAAAACAGAATGCATAGTCATTGCACGTGCCATTTAAAAAAAAAATGTAAACAAAACACGGACTTTGGAATTTTAATTACGTTTGCTGGTGCTATTTTAACTTCAAAACTAATCATCTGTAGACAAAAAATGGTGCATGACTACCTATTCTAAAGCTACGTCATTGTTATATTTAAAAGGAGTTTTTGCAAAAAGTGCACCGATTTGGGTCCTGTCTCCTTAAGTATTTAACACGACCCTCCAGATAATACATCTGGTGTATTATCTGGAGGGTAAACTGTGTGTAAACACTGTGTGTTTCTGAGTTCAGACATTCATTAAATGTGTCACTTACACTTTAGATCACATTTATTGAAGTACATAAATAGCCGACACAAACTGATGACTACTAGTCAACTTCCTATAGTTGACTATAATAACCGTGATATTTGTCCATTTACTTCACAGTAGTTTGGGTTGATCAAAGACTTATCCAAATGTACTGATGTTCCACTGTACATTTGTTAGAATAGGAAAGGTTGTGCCTTATGGTTGTTTGTAGCTATATGTATAATGTCTATCTGATAGAAAGGGGTTTTGATTAGGTTGGAGTGATTTACGTTTCTGTCTTAATGTGGTCATGATCACCGCATCAAGAACTACATTTTACGGTAAACAGGAGGATGAGAGTTGCTGTTGCTGTAGATGGTAGTATATTATTTAAAACAATGTTCTTTCAACAGGAAGATGTTCTGGTCCAACTGGGGAAGGACACCAAAAATTACATCATCTGACCTGGATGGCAGAAACACTGCTGTGATCGTGAGTGGCCAGCTCCGACAGCCGACAGGTTTGGTGATGGACAGGCCAAGGAAAACCGTTCTATGGGCAGACTCCCTATTACACAGAATAGAGAGTTCCCACCTGGATGGATCGCACAGGCAGGTAAGAGCCAGCTAGATTATTGTACGATGGACAATGTCAGTATAAATTGATCAGATGTCTTGACTTGTATTAGCTGTTATTATTGCTATAGAATATGTTATACCATTCACAGCTAACTCTGGGTGGAAGGGAAGGGTGTGCTTCTGGATGTCTGTCCTAACACCCTTGGGCTTAGATAAAGTGCTCAAGCATACTTAGTCCAAAAAAAAAAAGATTACTTAGTTCTCAGGCCCGCCCGCATTTCATTTTAGGGCACCGCATTGCCGATTTTATCGTGAAAGTAAAAAAAAAAAAAAATCGTGAATGCGCCAGCCGCCGTCTTAAAAAAAATCCGGAAAATTGGTCCGCATGTCCTTTTTACTCGTTAGTCACCCAAGTCACGAAAACGTTTGAATAAAGGTAAGGATTGAGATACAGGCAAGCATTAAAATGATTATGACTTATTAGTCTTGTGTACAAATGGCGCTCATTTCGGTACAAATAAGGAATGGGGGGTTCGTGATTTTCATCTGGAACATCGTGGGGGGATTTTCGGAGGCTTGCTCTATGATGGGTCTCTACACAACTATAAAAAAACAAGGTCATGTCCACAATGAACGTTTTACAAACTACACAGTAAAAAAAAAATCGCCCTCTCGTTTTTGCCATGTAAAATGGAAAAAAAATTACCGTCCTGCCGCATCTATTTTGAAAAAAAATGGCCTGAGAACCAAGTAATTAATTTTATTTGGCCTTATTCATTCATTTTGCGCTAATACATAGGAATGAGATCATATATATATATATATATATATATACACGGGCAATTATATGTGGTCATATGGTAACAAGTAAACTAGGTATACTTAATACTTGTATCCTTATTTTTGATGAAAGAAAAATAAAAGCTGTTTTACACTATAAATAGTATTAGTTGGTTTCCACCGAACGTTCATCCTACGGAGATGCATGTGGGGTTTGAGTTAGTCTGTGGCTTACCGTTCTAGTTCTCTGCTTTTATATGTTGTGTTACGAGGCCTGCACTGATCATTCTCTATATAAAGTTGTATGTTGTGGTGTTGCAGCCTGCATGGTCTCTGTATGTTGTAGATTGTGGTATCGCGGGGGCTGCACCGACCATCCTCTCTGGCCTTGTTGGAGGGCACCTTGTACTGGGCCAATGTCCGGGAGGGATCAATGAGCAGCTGTAACTTGTACAATGGTTGTCGGAGAATCTCACTCTTCAAAAATGGTCTCCATCATCCAAACTCCCTTGTAATAGGCTCACCAAGCCTGCACGGAATACCTGAAGGTATATTAGTAGAGGTCAATTATATTATTGTATACGACATGTCAAGGTCAGGTCATAACTATACAGAGAATGTTGTTGCCCTGAAGTAATCATCATATCTGCACAATAACTTGCATGTTATTCAACTCTGATGATGTTTGGTCAAAACACAAAATGTACACAGACTAAGGATAGGGTGAAATGGAGTAAATTGGCAAATATGTAAAATTGCATGTTCTGAAATGTTGATATCTAAGAGATGTGAATAAGACCTGTAGATAGGCGTTGCCTTTGCTACAGATCCACCTATAAACCAATGCCAGACTGCTCTCTGCTCACATGTATGTTTGTCCAGTCGTCCCGGATACAGTTGTATGTGTCCACCGGATCAAATCTTGACCAAAGATGGCCACACATGTTCTCGTAAGTATTAATTGTGCCACTAAAGGGAAGTCTTACTGGTTTTTGCTAACTAAGGACATTTTGAAGAAATCAGAATATATCTGCTGCATCAGTTTCAACACTGCAGACCTTTTTATATAGTGACTTAATTCTTGACTTGGTCATAATCATTGATTTGTAACTGTTGTATATATATATATAAATGTCATTAGTATAGATTATGGTTTTTAAGTATTGAATGGTGACAGTTGAAATGTTAATTGAGTGAAATGAATTACTCATTTTTTAGGTGTTGATGAGTGACTATTGTAAATATAGACTCCCTCTCTTTGGTAACACTGAAGTCATTTTTTTTTTTACAAAAACCATAATATTATACTGTCACAATATACACCTATACTTCTGTCAAACATGTGCAGTCTCACAAACTGTAAATTAGGTAGAAGTTATGTCACAGGGAATTGAGATTAACAATAAATACTGTATGTTATCACATTTAGTAATTCTTTTTCAGTGTATCTGCTTAATATTTAACTAGATAATGAGAGATTGTATATGTTGCATGTGATTTTGTACTTACTCTTTCTGATCTGACTATTAATACGTGGCATTACACTTTAGGTACACCTGGAACTGACCAGTTATATATTGGAACTCGGGGAAAGATACTTGTCCTACCCCAGGGGCTGCCTGGCTACACCCAGGACCTTCTCCTCCCCACCATCCTCTCCCATAGTGACACTCCAAGCTCTTTGGAAGTGGGACATGATACTAACTCGGTTGTGTACTGTGACTCCACAAAGGACACCATTACCATGGCAACCACTGATATCCTTACGGGCATGGTCACAGAGTAAGATAAATTATAATCAACCGATTGTTTAATTAATTTGAAAAGAAATCTTATATAATTACAAAATGAGTTATATGGAATTTTTTACAAGTGAAAATAATTATAAATTATACAGATTAGGAGTATTTCAACATTATCTGAAAGGTCAAAGTCAATGTTCAGCATTATCAACCATTCAACCTTTTCTTGACCTTTCCAGGAACACCTTGTATGAAGGAGACAATATTCAGCATGTTCTGGACCTTACTGTGGACTGGGTGCCGGGAAACATTTACTGGGCTGATGCCAGTCCAAGGGTAAGCATGACAACCATATTTGTCAAAAAAAGAGAGTAAAATATCCTGAACGCTTTCATACGCAATGAATTTGAATTTAGAGATTTCTGCCAATTTCAGAGAGTGAAAATAGGGAGTCTCCCTCCTTTTTTCTGGAATAATTTTGTCACAAAATTTATACATGACACTTTTTCTGCATTACTGCTGTAGGCGGCCATTATGGTAGGCTGTATCTCTGGAGAGCACATCTTGACCTTGGTGAAGGACAACTTAGAGCAGCCCAACTCTCTGGATATTGACCACGTCAATGGGTATACCTCTTTTAACATGCGAGACTATCAAAAGCATTAATTAGTCTGAAATAACTGACTGTTTCCTTTTTCTTTTTTTTTATGTATATAACTTGTTTTTATACTTCTGAAACTAAAACCTTTACAAAGCTTCCCAAAGAGATTCCTTACAGAATTCAAGATATAGTCCGACTCTATACATATTCACTCCAATTAATGTTCTCTGGATCTCGAATCACAAAATGTGAGTGTAAATCTAAAATGTGAGTGTAAATCTATGACCCATTTTCTCTTTAGGTATTTGTACTTTTCTGACATTGGGAGGTCTCCATTTATTGGGCGTTGTCGACTTGATGGAACAGATTTCAGCAGATTGAACACCGACGTAGGACACCCAGAGCACCTTGTGGTCAGTCCGGAGGACAATCGTCTTTACTTCATGGATGTCCATTACCACCAGATCTTGTCTGTTTCTCTCCCTGATGGTGCTGACCACAGGACACACTGGCAGTGAGTGACCCCTCGCCCACGCTCCTCCACCCCTCGCCCACGCTCCTCCACCCCTCGCCCACGCTCCTCCACCCCTCGCCCACGCTCCTCCACCCCTCTTCTGATCCTTCCTTCATCCCTTCTATAATGTTGTCTGTGATTAATAGACACGAATACCTGACATCACAGCATATGCTGGTAAAAGCCGATTTCACTGTAACAGGCAATTTCCTCAACAGCAATATAATTGGCAATGATAATGAGTCACCTTGGTCAGCAGTAACTTAAATCATGTAAATGAGGGCTTAGATAACCTATATATACCTTTATTTCCAGTTTTTTTTCTTGAGAAAGAGCATTGTCGTTAAGTTGTTCCAGATTTTCAAGGCCAAATTTATGAATTATACTTTAGCTGGTACCATAAGTAACAGATTTGTGTATAGATTTGGAATGATAGCTGTAGGGACCTTTACAGCTTTGAAACGAATGAAGTTGTGACCTACGTAGCTGGTATAGGGATCCTAGGTACGTAGTTGGTATAGGGATCCTATACGTACGTAGCTGGTATAGGGATCCTACGTACGTAGCTGGTATAGGGATCCTAGGTACGTAGCTGGTATAGGGATCCTACATACGTAGCTGGTATAGGGATCCTAGGTATGTAGCTGGTATAGGGATCCTACGTACGTAGCTGGTATAGGGATCCTACGTACGTAGCTGGTATAGGGATCCTACGTACGTAGCTGGTATAGGGATCCTACGTACGTAGCTGGTATAGGGATCCTACGTACGTAGCTGGTATAGGGATCCTACGTACGTAGCTGGTATAGGGATCCTACGTACGTAGCTGGTATAGGGATCCTACGTACGTAGCTGGTATAGGGATCCTACGTACGTAGCTGGTATAGGGATCCTACATACGTAGCTGGTATAGGGATCCTACGTATGTAGCTGGTATAGGGATCCTACATACGTAGCTGGTATAGGGATCCTCCGTATGTAGCTGGTATAGGGATCCTACATACGGAGCTGGTATAGGGATCCTACGTACGTAGCTGGTAGAGGGATCCTACGTACGTAGCTGGTATAGGGAGCCTACATACGTAGCTGGTATAGGGATCCTGCGTATGTAGCTGGTATAGGGATCCTACATACGTAGCTTGGAGAGGGACCCTAGGTATGTAGCTGGTATAGGGGTCCTACGTACGTAGCTGGTATAGGGATCCTCCGTACGTAGCTGGTATAGGGATCCTGCGTATGTAGCTGGTATAGGGATCCTACATACGGAGCTGGTATAGGGATCCTACGTACGTAGCTGTTATAGGGATCCTATACATACGTAGCTGGTAAAGGGATCCTACCTACGTAGCTGGTATAGGGAGCCTAGGTACGTTGCTGGTATAGGGATCCTAGGTACGTAGCTGGTCTAGGGATCCTACGTACGTAGCTGGTATAGGGACCCTACATACGTAGCTGGTATAGGGATCCTCCGTATGTAGCTGGTATAGGGATCCTACATACGTAGCCGGTATAGGGATCCTGCGTATGTAGCTGGTATAGGGATCCTACATACGTAGCTGGTATAGGGAGCCTAGGTATGTAGCTGGTATAGGGATCCTACGTACGTAGCTGGGATAGGGATCCTAGGTACGTAGCTGGTATAGGGATCCTACATACGTAGCCGGTATAGGGATCCTGCGTATGTAGCTGGTATAGGGATCCTACATACGGAGCTGGTATAGGGATCCTACGTACGTAGCTGTTATAGGGATCCTATACATACGTAGCTGGTAAAGGGATCCTACCTACGTAGCTGGTATAGGGATCCTACGTACGGAGCTGGTATAGGGATCCTAGGTACGTAGCAGGTATAGGGATCCTACGTACGTAGCTGGTAGAGGGATCCTACGTACGTAGCTGGTATAGGGATCCTCCGTACGTAGCTGGTATAGGGATCCTGCGTATGTAGCTGGTATAGGGATCCTACATACGTAGCTTGGAGAGGGACCCTAGGTATGTAGCTGGTATAGGGGTCCTACGTACGTAGCTGGTATAGGGATCCTATACATACGTAGCTGGTATAGGGATCCTACGTAGGTAGCTGGTATAGGGATCCTAGGTACGTAGCAGGTATAGGGATCCTACGTACGTAGCTGGTAGAGGGATCCTACGTACGTAGCTGGTATAGGGAGCCTACATACGTAGCTGGTATAGGGATCCTAGGTACGGAGCTGGTATAGGGATTCTACGTACGTAGCTGGTATAGGGATCCTATACATACGTAGCTGGTAAAGGGATCCTACCTACGTAGCTGGAATAGGGATCCTACGTACGGAGCTGGTATAGGGATCCTAGGTACGTAGCTGATATCGGGATCCTAGGTACGTAGCTGGTATAGGGGTCCTAGGTACGTAGCTGGTATAGGGATCCTACATACGTAGCTTGGAGAGGGACCCTAGGTATGTAGCTGGTATAGGGGTCCTACGTACGTAGCTGGTATAGGGATCCTATACATACGTAGGTGGTATAGGGATCCTAGGTACGTAGCTGGTATCGGGATCCTAGGTACGTAGCTGGTATAGGGATCCTATACATACGTAGGTGGTATAGGGATCCTAGGTACGTAGCTGGGATAGGGATCCTACGTACGTAGCTGGTATAGGGATCCTACGTACGTAGCTGGTATAGGGATCCTTTAACAGCTGAAAAGTTGAACCATAAAATGATGACATGAGCTTGAGGAATTCTCAAACTTTTCGGGTCAAAGATTCTTGGAAGAAGTAACTGATAATGATTTAATGTCTTGTGTCTTCGTTCAGAGGCATTACTGGTCAAGTGTTAGGGCTAGCAGTGATTGACCGCTGGATATACTGGACTGACCAGCAGTCGGAGGGTGGTGCACTGTGCAGGGTACACAAGCATGACCACAATAAAGAGATGTGCTTTCTCCGTAACAATTACTTACTGCAGGGTTTGGCTGTTCCCTCCTCCATCAACTCACCACAAGGTTAGTGCACATAGCTATGATTACAAATTACCTCCATATTTACCGTAAAAACCCATGTAATTTGCGCACTTTTTTTTCAGAAATTTAATACCCAAAGTGGGGGGTGCGTAAAATACACAGGTATAGAAAATTTCAAGTTTTTTTCAGGAAAAGATCGACGATTCTGGGAGATCGCCATCTTGGATTATTTCCCTTGGTACACGGAACTCTTAAGACAAATGACGATCAACAAATTTATTTATGTCAAACATTAATAAAAGATACATAACGTGTTGTTATGTGAGTTTATGTGAAAAGTATTATTAAATAGGTAACCGTTAACAAAAAAAGTTTAGCCAAATTCCTTTGCCAGAGAATCGCCGATCAACTTACGACGTTACGTTTCGACATCTCAGTGCGTTTCCCCATACTATTACGAAAATGTAGTTGTTCAATTTAAGCTCCGTTCCATGTAAGTTATGTAAGGTTTTTTCAAATCGCCTATGCGTATATGTATAGCATGTTTTTTTCCGGCTTACTTTCATGTTGATCTCGCGTCTAACATTACGTAAACACGTGATTGATAATAACCTCGTGAATTATTTCAATATTTATTAAATGAAGCATCGTAAAAAAAGTCTGCATTAACTACTTTTTTCCTTGGAGTAGATTTGATGAGGATGTATTCATTGTCCACGCTTCTAGTATAAACATATTTTTTATAATCCCTTATCAGTCAAATCAGTCAGTAGTTATGACAATGCAGTAGGGCTTCGTAATTCATGCCACGTGTTGGTGAGTGAAAAAAACAACACGATCGCGACTGCAAATCATTTCAATTAGTAGAGCTATTGTTAACGGGTAATCACAGAGATAGTGTTAGCTAATTACTGCATTGCAATTTGTATTGACTGTAGTGTTGAGAAGTGTTAATAATTTACGCTGAAGCATGCGATCCTACCTGGCCTATTGTCCGGGACCAGACGATATCGGTGAAATCATGCCCTCCGGTTTACTTACCTGTAAATGTCGCAAAACCAGTAGTCATGACCACAGATGACCGATTTTAATAATTTTACAGTAGGTAAAAAATGTGTGGCCAAAAAATATCGCCAAACCACGGACTTAGATAATCTTATTCCGTGGCCAAACTGAACTGTGACATGACCTGGTTTGAAGTGACGTAACCCAAGCCGCCATGATGAGCCCTTCTCACTGATCGTAATTATGATCAATAAAAGGTATCTAATTATGTCTTTCACCAGGAGATATGCACCAGCGGTTACTAAACATCGAATTACTTATTAATTGATATGTTTTTGTAAGCAAGTAAATGTTTTATGTAAAATATTGCTAAAATGAATTGATGTATGCCGATATGCGCACACGTGTGTCATGTGTGATCAGATAATTCAAAGAAAACAAGCAACAAAATACACATTTTACGTAGTTTCTTCTTGGATTTAAATATCATTTAACATCAATGAAAAAAAAATCATAGAAATATATATATTTATTTTTTATTCAGAGAGCGATTTTCGGAGCATGAACATCGTTTTTTTTCCAGATTTTTTGGGTGCGCAAAATATTCGAGTAGAAGCTTTTTTCCAGATTTTCAGCCTCAAAAAGTACCTGCGCAAATTACACAGGTGCGCAAATTACATGGGTTTTTACGGTACTAAAGTTCTCCAAATATCACTGATTCACAAATGTCCTTTAAATGGAAGACAAAATGCCTCCCATTTCAATCACTGCTGTACAAATGTCCTTTAAATGGAAGACAAAATGCCTCCCATTTCCATCACTGCTGTACAAATGTCCTTTCAGTGAGCCACAGTTGAAGTTAATGCATGTATACAACCCTGTACCTTGTATAGGCATGTATACAATCCTGTACCTTGTATAGGCATGTATACTATCCTGTACCGTGTATAGGCATGTATACAATCCTGTACCTTGTATAGGCATGCATACAATCCTGTACCTTGTATAGGCATGTATACTATCTTGTACCTTGTATAGGCATGTATACAATCCTGTACCTTGTATAGGCATATATACAATCCTGTACCTTGTATAGGCATGTATACCATCCTGTACCTTGTATAGGCATGTATACAATCCTCTACCTTGTATAGGCATGTATACAATCCTGTACCTTGTATAGGCATCAATGTATACAATCCTGTACCTTGTATAGGCATGTATACAATCCGGTACCTTGTATAGGCATGTATACAATCCTGTACCTTGTATAGGCATGTATACCATCCTGTACCTTGTATAGGCAATGTTGTATATGTAAGCATTCATATTTTATAGTGTGATTATTTAAATAACAAGAACATGTTAGACAAACGTTTGCTTTTTATTTTTAGGTCACCTGAGACAAAGTCTCAAGTGACCTATTGCGATCGCCTTTTGTCCGTCGTCGTCCGTCGTCCGTCATCCGTCGTGCGTCCGTAAACAATTTACATTTTTCGACTTCTTCTCCAAAACCCCTGAACCAATTTCAATGAAATTTTGCAGGGACCTTCCATGGACAAAGGTCAACAAAAATAGTTGCCGGCTTAGTCTTAAGCCCCCAGGGGCCTGAGGGGCGGGGCCAAAAATGGTCAAATTGACTAAAATTTCAAAAATCTTGTTCTCCAAAACCCCTGAACCAATTTCAATGAAATTTTGCAGGGACCTTCCATGGACAAAGGTCAACAAAAA